CCATGAAAATTTCGAGCCTCACTTTTTCTCCCCCAGGCAGCCAGATGGGCCACTGGGACCGCTGTACGCGTCTTCAAACCCTGAGTACCTCAGTGAAAAAATAAAAATAAATAAATAAATAAAATAATTTTTTTAAAAAAGAATAATATTTCATGATATGTGAAAATTGTTTGGAGCCCAACTTTTTCAGTGTTGACGAAGTTTTATTGGCACGCGGCCAAATGCTTTTATTTGTGGACGTTATGAAGTTGTTTGTGGCTGTTTTTGCCGTGTAACAGCAGAGTTGATTGAGTGTGGCTTGCAAAGCTGAGAATATTTACTCTCCGGCTCTCGACAGCAAAAGTTGAACAACCTCCATCCTAACTCTTGGTTTCCTCCCTTCCAGCATGAAGCTCACGGCACCTAAGCCATGGTTGCTGTGCGAATTAGGTGATATGATCTGGGTCAGACGTTTAGGAAGTTTGGCTGTTATCAGTAACGATGACCTCTGCACCTGTTTGCCTTTTCATAGCACCATGGTTCTAAAATTCTGCGATTCTCCAAGTCGCCTGGGTATCGTGCTCTGATCGTGCTTTGTTGCCTTGTCTCTGAGCGGGATGCTGGCTGGGACATCTCTGCTTGGGTGGACGTGGCAGGTGTGCCAAGCTCAGCCAGCCTCCTCCTCCATCCTAGGAGCTGCATCTCTGCGTATCCCGCAAGCATTACGCACTGGAGCGGGGCTGCAGGCTGCGCGGGCTGTCACCGGGCAACTACAGCGTGCGAGTCCGGGCCACCTCCCTGGCGGGCAATGGTTCCTGGACAGAAGCCACCCATTTCTACGTGACAGACTATTGTAAGTCTCCCCGGCAGCCTTGGCTAGGTTGGGGATGTGCTTGGCGCTGGACGTGGTAGAACATTGCAGAGGATGAGCGGGGGGAAGCTACAGGTGCTGGCCCTGGACATTTGGGTCCACCGGTTGCTGCTGTGTGACTGGAGCAAGATGCTTGACCTCTCTGGTCCTACACTTGTTCATCTGTACATGGAGATAATAACTGGACCCACTTCCGGAGGTAGAGGGAGATTTCAGTGGCATGAATGTTAAGTGGCTGGCACAGGGTACCACTGGTAAACACATTAATTAGTTCCTGCTACTATCGTATCCATATTTGCTATTAGAATTTTTCATCTGCCAAAGGTAATGTTGGGTTTGGGACTAGCTGTGTAATTTGCAGGGCACGGTGCAAAATAAAAATAAAGAGCTCCTTGCTTGAAAATTATTAGGAATTTCAAGGGGACAATGGCAGGGCATTAAACTGAGAGCAGAGCCCCTCTGAGTGTGGGGTCCCATGCACTGCCTGGGTTGCATGCCTGTCAAGCCAGCCCTGGGTGGGGATGTGAGAAGGCTGTCCCAGGGCAGTGGTCCGGGGAGGGGCACAGCAGTGTGCTTCCAGAATACAGATCTCAGAGCCCACCACCTGGCCCCGCTGAGCCAATGATGTTTCGGAACTGCTGGAACTCATGGTCCAAGAGACCAGCAGAGAGATTCAGGGACGAGAGAGGAGGAAACAAGTGTGGACTGATCTTCACTGTCAACACATTTGGACGTCAAACGTATATTTTCTTATTCTATTTCAGTAGACGTCCCATCAAATATTGCAAAAATTATCATCGGCCCCCTCATCTTTGTCTTTCTCTTCAGTGTGGTGATTGGAAGTATTTACTTATTCCTGAGAAAAAGGTGAGTGCAGTGGTGTGTTCGTAAATGGTGAACAACCAGCTATCTGGGGAAAAAGTACGCCTAGAGACAGATGTAGGTATATTTGAGTTTATTATAGATTTTACTGACATGGGATGTGTAACGTGCAATTTACAGGTAATAACCCTAATGCAACATACAGTATTCTTTATCATAAATGCACTCTAGCCAGTTGACTTTTTTGCCCTCTAAACCTTTATATCTGTAACCAACCCATGAGTGCAATTGACAAATGAGTGTAGCTCCAACATGAATGTTGATTGGTTTTTTAAATTTACATTGCAGATGTAAGATAAAAATGACATAAGATGTATACAGTCATCAATGATGTCAGTGACTTTTCTTTGCTGAATCGGATAATAATTTTTAAATACCAGAAGAAAATTTTCTTCCTTTTTTTTTTATTTTTTGTGCCATTTGCAATGGTTTCTGCACACATGACACACTTTGAAGTTAAATCTGCATGATTAAACATGTTTCCCATCACTTTCTCAAGCCTGGACAAACAACAGAACGATAAATCCAGTCCCGATTTGTAGCGTTGGCCAATGCCTATGGTGCAAATATTCCTGCCTTGGCCACTTTCACGCTGTTCGAGGTGATGTCCCTGAGCACAGAGCTGGCGAGATAGACAGATAGCTCACATTGTATCCTATTTCTACCCTATGATACAGTGTTGCAAATAAACGAGATCCCGTAAATAACCTCAAGCACCTAGATCATAGTAAAATGCAGTATAAGTGTTAGATAGTGATGAGTTTTGAACATTTATTGCCTTTGCTTTTAGTCCGTTGTAAGCCTCTATCATTTGATTTTTACTGATGGTTATATTCAGAAATCAGTCCACATATTTTCTGAAAATTTAACATTGTTTCATGCCAGCTCCAGAATGGTACTGGGTTAGTAGCTTTTAGGTGTTACATGGACAACCATAAATTATACTAAAAGCCACCCGGGGAGAGGGGAGCGTTCCCATGTTGATGCGTTTAAATAGCCGTCTGACCGGCTTCCACGTAAAACATAAGGGTCCCCTATCTGCCCCCCAAACCCTAGACTGCATCCGGGTTTATGTGGATGCTACTGGCAAGGGCTGTCCTTTGCCCTGGGGAGCCTTGTTTTATAACTTCTTTCTAGAGACCCGCAGAATCCCATGAAAATTTCGAGCCTCACTTTTTCTCCCCCAGGCAGCCAGATGGGCC